AGTCTTCTTTATTAGGACTACAGCAAAGAGTGGTTAATATCTCTTGAGAAGAGAAATAAGAGGGCAGAGGATTAATATAAAAGTGATAAATAAGTACATAAGTATAATTAAATAATTAAAAATAGAGTAAATAAATATAAACAAAAAGATGTCTAACAGCAAATAAACTCATATTAAAATTAATAATCCCAGAATAAGAATAAAATCGAAAGATTAGAATCTTTTTGCTTGTGGAAAAGCAAAAAGTAAAAAGAAAAATTCTTGCATCTGCAAAAAACAGGCTCTGGTCGCTTTTCAAATCAGGCTGCACAAGCTATCGTTTTAGTTTGATTTCCACAAGACTTCTAATCACTTGATGTTATCCACAATCTGGGATTATCATTTTGCATGTTATTTTATTTGCTCTTTTTTTAATACATATTAGACTTTTTTTTAATCTAAATTTATTAGCCCAAAAGAGCTATTAGTCTCGTTTCGGAATTTTTGCTTTGAATCACTTTATTGCGTCGAATCACTTTAGATGACCGTTTCACTTTTCAGATTGTTGCCGCAAAATATGCTATTTCTTTGCATCATTTTTAAAGAAATTAAATATTGAAGAATTTGCATGGATTGTGAAAAAACGATGTTACACAGAGCCATCAAATTTTGAATAAAGCAATCCTTCACGCGAACATGTGCACCTGAAATCGCGGATTTTGAATTTCGAATTTGTTTTATTAGTTTTTCATATTTTGTAAAACTCTAATTCATTTTCAATTAATTGAAAACAAGCAGTGGCTAAATAAAACATTTTTATCTCCAACTCGCCAGACTGTTGCCATTCGGAAAAAGATGTAAGATATATGTCTTTCAGTATCAGATATGCTATGATTTTGCTGCTGAATAGAATTTATGTAGCGAAAATTTATATTTGATGAATAAAGTTAACATACGAAAAGTTAGTATTAAAAAGACAAAAAAAAAAAAAAATGTGTAAGCTATCTTACTAAGAAAACTGAACACTAATATTTTGAAATGAGAAAAGACTGAATAGAATATAAAAATGTATAGCAGCTTTTAACATTGTATCGGAATTCTAAAAATAGGCTGCTTTTAAAAAAGTGATTTTGTTGTTGAACTAACTGTATGTGCGATGAAAGCGATGCTTATTAATAAAGCTAAGAGGACAAACAAAAAATGGGTTAGCAAACAAAAATTAATTGAGTGAGTGCAATAGCAGATTAAGGAATCAGCGAGAGTGTTAAAATACCTTAACAAACCCCTTTTGGAACGATCGTTAAAATCTGAAAAACCTTCGGATATTTTGTTACTCTGTTTTGTATTTAATTGCGCTTATTTTGCACTTTTAGATTTATTTTCTATGAGTACTTCTTCCGACAGTAATTTGATCTAGATTTTATATTGTGCATGTACCTAAAAATGTAAATAAAAGCAACATGATTAATTAATAAATGTCTTCATTATTGGTTAATAATTTATTTATTAAATTTAAACTTTTTATATTAATTCTTATTAATCAATTATTAATCAAATATGATTATGGTAATTATGATTATTTAATTTTCTTAAATAGTTTCTCTACTCCGGAACACATTTATTTTCCTAGAGTATCTACTAAAGTATGGCAATATTGCAGCTTTCTGATAAAGGAAGATTCAAGCAGGAGACCACCCAGTAATTTCTTTCTTTCTTTTGTTGTCCACAGCTTGTACCCGTTTCTTAATAAGATGGCTTAGAGAACTTTTCTTTTTTTGTTTCTTTTTATTACTAAGTTTTCGTATGTGAATTTTATTTATTAAATATAAACTTTCGCTACATAAAATTATATTCAGCAGCAAAATGACAAAATATTTGATAATGAAAGAGAAATATCTTATTTTTTTTTCCGAATAGCAACAGTCTCGCGAGTCGGAGATAAAAAATGTTTTATTTGGAACAGTGTTGCCACTGCTCGCTTTCCGATCTTTGAGACTGTTAACTAATAATTAATTAAAGTATTACAAAATATGAAAAAATAATAAAACAAATTCGAAATTAAAATTTGTGCTTTCAGGTGCACATGTTCGCATGAAAATTACATTATTCAAAATTTGACGGTTGTATCTACCATCATTTTTTCACAATACATGCAGATTCTTCATTATTTAATTTCTTTAAAAATAATGCAAGGCGATAACATACTTGGTGGGAACAATTTAAAAATGATTCAGACATTTAAAGTGACAGGACGAAAAATCCCGATATGAGATTAATAGCGCTTTTGGGCTAATAATTAAATGTATGAAAATATATGAGAAGTAATTCGAGCGTGTTTTATTACAGTGCATTAAGAAAAATAGTAGCAAAACATTATTTATAGCTATTTCAAATAAGCAAATATACTGATTTTTGCTTTAATTAACAAAGCTTTTATTTCACAATCAAAAATGGCATTTGCATTTGAATAACTTTCAATCGATTTTACTCTTCTTACTAATTATCAGATGCAAATCGAAAAGTCCTAAAATGCATAGCATTAGATGAGATGGATGCGAGTTTTTAACACGTTTTATCATCACATCATTACCCCGAATACACACACACACACATTTATATATATATATATATTATATAAGATATTAAGATATTTTATTTATTTTTATGTAAGATTTTTAATTTAGGAATATTTCGTACGAATATAGTTTTATTATTTATAAAATGATGTATGATATATTACAGTTTAAAATTATTCCTATATTTAAAATAATTATAAAAACAGATTTCCAGGGACGACATAGCTTGGTCTTAAATGGTAGTATGGTCAAAGCTGATAATATCTCCTCTACGAGGTACCAGCTTTTGTGTTCGATGGTCGCGTTATGGTGTTGTCACTGACGCCCTTGAGTGTGATAGGTACAGGGTTCAGGTTCATTTCAATAGAATTTCTCAATAGACCTCACAGGTAGTGGAAGGGGGAAGGAAATATTTCTCTCGTTAACTGAGCTAAATTTCAGACACAAAATGTTTACCTTTGGAAGAGAAAAATGGTACAAAATATAGAAGTTTTGCTCGCCGGTGAAGTGGTTAAAATGTATATAAACTTTTGTCATTTTCGTTTTCAATTTCAAATTAGCATACTATTCTACAAGATTTTAACATTAGTCATTAAAAATTATTCCAGGTTAGAGACAAAATTCATGGTGAAGCAAACATATTTTTTTTTTTTTTTTTGTTTCATTCTCTAGTCTGTTTGAAGTATTTAGGCATGTGCAAAATGTTCTTTGATAAAAAATTAATCATTCATCTTTTATTCTGTAATATTTAATGGCATAAATATTAGTTCATCTAATGTAATTGGCTGTGAAACTTTCATTATGTGTTATGTTCATTAGAATAAAAAAACTAATTTGGAGACTCAAAGATTTAGGTTCTTTATAGGTTTAACTGAATATACATATCAAGATGATGTGATAAGTGCAGAGTGTCTTCAAATGATATTCAAAGTTATCCATTAAATTCATTAATAGGCCTATTCAAAAACAAGGATCTGAAGATCTATCAGTTTCAGATTTTCTAGCTATACAGTAACATCTGATATTAACTCATCTAAAAAAGTAGATCATTGCTATATTTATCATTCCTAAAAGTTCTAGCTATTGAATAAAATGTATAAGATCTTAATTCTTTCATTTCTGCTTTAGATTTGAAAAAAATACGGTTCTTGGTTTTACTAATGATGCCATTCTCTTCTGTGTGTATTTCTATTACTTTAGCCAGAAACTACTAGAAACATTTTTGATGTTCTCTTTTAGTAAGCACTATAAATTCAAGTACCACAGTTATTACCTACTCAAGGTTAATCATCCCTGAGTTGCTTTTATAAATGCATTAATTCACTGTATTAATCAGATTTAAAACCATTTTTGACATCCTCACGAGCTTTTTGTATGCATGTGTACTTTTTTCAAATGTTATATTGACATCGAGAACAACAGCTTCTTTTGATTTGTGTAAATCCATGTTTGGCATTATTTTAATTAATCTTGAGTACCCTCTGTCAGTAGTTTTAATTGCTAAAAGTTTTTTATCTTTTCATATTATATAGAGTATATAATCCTTATAGTTTAGAGATATTCTTCTGGGTACTTTTTGCAATATTTATTTAGCATCATAATTAGTCCTTTCTGTCAACTATTTTGCTAGAAAAAAGCTGAAGGAATAATTCTCCTAATTAACATATTATTAGGTTTATTTTGGAGCAGGAGATATGAACAATTAGCTGTATGCTCTCCTGGACTCAAACTCCTGACCTTGGGATGCTATCCACAGATGCTTCCAATTATACCATGAAGGTATACAGTAAGGAATGAAAACATTCGTTGCAACTTTAATTTAACTTCAGTCAATTAAGTTTCCCCAGTCTAGTTTAGATAAGATATTAGCTTCTGCAGCAAATTTTGAGTTGTAGTCAAAATAAAGTATTGGAAGGCTTTTTGACATGAGCAATAAATGACTGAAAAACAAATCTCTCACATGTGAAGAAATAATCATTTGCATATTGATAACTAAGTGGATTGTGCATGTGTATATCACTCAGCATATTTCTCCATAGTTTTAGAAAAGAGGACCTGCAAAATCCTCTCTAGAAATTTCAGATGTCATAGCATCTTTCGCTCTTGTAGAAATAGAAGCTCTATTAGAAATGCCATAGAAGTATTTCTTCTATATTGTTGAACTTGAATTTTCTAATAGTTTTTTTTTTCTTTTGCATAAAATCCCGATGCTTTGCAACCATATTCCAAATTTGAAAAACATTAAATATAGAAAGAATTTCACTGAATTTTCCATTTGTCATTTCAATTCTTTTACAGCTGACAAGCCATATCTGAGAGCAATTTTTATTCACGAAAATATTTAAGAAAAATATATTATGCACTTTATAATTTGTGTTTAGTTTCTCTAATGTTGTAATTTTTCCTTTTTTAGATTCATAATATCAGTTATCATCTTTTTAACAGGAAATGATTAATGGTTCTTGGCAATTTGGACCACTGATTGATACATTAGAAGGAACCAAAAATTATGAAGTAGAGATTATCAATTTACTACCAGGCAAACAATATTTTGTAGCGGTTATTGTCCGAGATATTAGTGGCAATGCTCAGAAGTATGATCTTAGTATGCTAAATGTTACAACTGTTTGTGATCGTAAGTATACATCTCTATTTAGTCAGATTTTAGGAATGTCAATAATCAGGTATTAATAATTCCAATCTGTTCATGTTAAAAAAATTGGTATTTGTATATTATCTGGTGACCGTGCAATATTGTCGCCTAGCAGCGTGATTTAGAGTCAGTTATAAATAGGTATGATGTTACACCACAAATCACAATGTCTGCATTCTCGATTGAATCTTGATAAACCACTTTTTTAAAACCAGGATATAGATTAACTATCATTATTACAATTTGCTTCTTACATTTTGAAACAAATGTCTAAAATTTGGTTCCTGCCTTCTACAGAACAACAAGGAAAGGATTATTTTCAATGTTAAGTGATACTACCATTAACAAACGTATGCATTAATAGACACGATACGGTTAACAAAACAATAACAGATTGGAACAATTACTTCAGCGTTTGAACTCAGCGTTCTAAATAAAGCTTTCGGTAAAATCAGAGGGCCTAACAAAGTAGTAGAAATCGCTGAAAGCCTTTTTCGAAGTGCAGAAACGAAGCGGGTCAAATATTGATTGTTTATTAAATAAAGAAGTGATAGTTCCTTCAGAATTCCGCAAGAACGATTGGTGAAACTTTGGTGGGATCTCTTATCAAATTTTACAGTTCAATGGTAGCCAACTTTCATGGTCGATATGGGATAATACGTAAATAGCAAAAAATTTAAATAAATGGATTTCAGTGCATGCTTAAATTCCGATATAATTACTATTTTTATATTTTTAAATGTTATAAAGATCTCCACTGTGCAGTGTTTCATTAAATAAGTATTTTGTTTTAAGTTAGATTTTTTTATACTTTTTGGTCAAATTTTGATAAATTAAAACTATTTCTGTTCTTCTAACTCTGTGGCATTATGAAATGTGTGAAATTTTTTAGACTGCCTTTAAATATTTATATGATTAATATATCATTTTTATTGCAGATGCGACTTTTGTCTGATCTCATTTACTGCATAGAATTTAACAGTTAAACTATATAGAACTTCATACTATATAGAAATTTTTATTTAAAAGTTATAACAGATTACTACAAATTATCCTTCCTGCTTGAGAATCTTTATAATTTTTATAATTGCAATTTTTGTTATTTTTAAACTATTTTTAGCTTTTTTTATTTTAGAAAGGAACGTACAATTAAATAAATAAACTTAAGCATTGCATTAAATAAGGACACAATAAATTTAAATAAAACTCTATTTTTCTTTTGAAATTTCTTGGTAATAAACATGTTTATTTTGATAATTTATTCAATCTATTTTCTCATTAACGACATGCCTCTTTTTAGCTATTTCATTTTTGCGAATATGCTATAAGGTTATTCTCCCGCTTTCCTAGCGTGCCTTCGTGGTGTAATGGTTCTGCACGCTGCGCCGGTGTTCCAGAGGTCAGTGGTTCGTTTCCCGGCGAAGGCGTTGCTAATTTTTGAATCTCTCTTGCTACCAAAAAAATCCTAATGTCTCTACAGTGGCGCCCGAACTAAAAGGGTGTAGGATGATGATTCTCCTCACCCAGGATTTGACGATTGGGTCCCCTAAAAACCCCAGTCGCTCTTTAAAAAAGGGGGTATATAAGGTTATTCTCCCACTTTCCTAGCGTGCGTTTGTGGTGTAATGGTTCTGCACCCTGAGCCGAGAGGTCTATTCCAGAGGTCCGCGGTTCGATTCCCCGCGAAGGCGTTGCTAATTTTTCATCTCTTATTCTTCCAATTAACCTAATGTCTCTACAATGCATTCATAAAAATGTAATAAGTGACTTTATTTTGATGAGTAAATATTTATTAATTGCTGTGAATATAAAATGATTTCATGCTAATGATCATAGAAAATAAACGTTATTTGAATGAGTTTACTATATCTGCTATAGAATAATTTTGAGAACCTGAAAGGAAAAGTAAATATTTTCTTTAATTTTTCTTTCTTTCACCAATGAAATTTTGTGGTATTTTTATATTAGTGTGTCCTTTAATAAAATATATCAATCTAACACAGAAAAGCCTTTTATTATTGTAAGACTGCAGTTTTGGTTTTTAAGAAAGGCTGCACAGACTACAACTTCATACCAAATTGTTTTGAGAAATATGATTACTTTGTGTTGTGTTCATCTATGATATGTCACGCTGGCTTTTTAGCGGGGAAAAAGTGTAAATTAAAAAGAAGATTGAGCAGATGGACATCTTTCAATTCTTTCTTGTCTATCTGTAAAAGTATTTTAATACTTCCAAGGTAATATAAAGCTGGAAATATTTTGTAAATTATTTAATAGATAATATTTATAAAGCCAACGGTATACAAATAACTGAAAATATTTATCCATATTTAAAAAGTATTAAAATAAATTTCTCAGTTTATGTCAAAAGCAAATGCATTAAACAACTTTTCTAATTTCAATGCTTTTCAAATTAAAAAATTTTTAATTTATCAAAATAATTAAATAAACTGAATTTTATTTAAGCTCCATGAAGTTTAACAACTATGAAACATTTTGCCTGTGCCTGGAGTTGCTTATCTAAAATTTAAGTGATTTAAATTGATGCTATTCAATTTCTTTATTTATTTATTTTTAAAATTTTATTCATTAGGCTGTACATTTTGCTGTTTTAATTAAAAATTCTTTTAAATAACTCATATTTTTAGAAATAACAGCATACTTTAGTTGGGAGGGGATTCATTGAAATTTTTAAACGATAAAATTATAGAAATAAGAGAGAGTTATCTTTATAATGACAATATTAATCATACTAGCATACATTTGTGTCAATGAAGGAAATTTTTAAAAGTCTCTATTATTGTTTTTAACATAACTAACATTTGTATTGAGTTTCATATTATTATAATTTCTATTTCATTTGGGAGAATTTTTGGTCACTACTGTGGGAGTGACTGTCAAATTACCCTGTATTCAGAGGCTGCAGGTAGCGGATCTTATTGGGTAAGGTTAGGTAAGGATGATTGGATAAGGTTACGAGGTGGCTTACTCTTACTGCATTTTAAACTCAAAACATATTTATTACAATTACGAGAAACTCTTTACACACACACACATACACACACACACACACACACATATATATAATTCAGGGATAAATATTTAAATTAATTATAGCCCTCCTAGTGTGAGGAGTCTGCTAACGAAGTTCTCTCTAGTCGAGAGCTCAAGATCATCGTAGGTCTCTCTAGTCGAGAGTTCAGGAGCGTTCTCTTGATGTTACTCCGACGGCAAAAACCTTCAAACTGAATTAGCCACGCCTCCTTAATTTTATAGTAGCATTTTACACCCTCTGATTCGTTATATCTGGAACGATATCAAAGATAAAATCAAATCATTGGTTCGCCACTCCTGAAATCGGGAGGCTTTAACGACAGACACGGTGCGGAACGTTAAAACCTCCTGACACTGTTTAGGAAGTTATGTCTCTGCGATGTCAAAAACATGTCGTGTGACACATCGTAAAGGCTAGGATCAGTGAATTGCAGGGACCGCACACACGATTTACTTATCTCTGTGTGGTCTGCCGCACATTTATAAAATTTAGGAATACCATTCAATACATTCAACCTAAAAGAATTTAAATATCCCAGCTAAAAATGAGTGAGTGAGTGAGTGAGAGTAAGATTATTGGCGCATAACCAAAAATGATTATAAAGCGTCAAACACGAGGTAGATGAAACACGAGGTAGAGGCCAAACACGAGGTAGAGGCTGAGGAAATTTGGTACGTATGAAAACTAATCTGTGCTTTCTTGAATTTATCAACTGTAGCTTTATAATCGGCTTCGGTGGTAGTGTAAAGGAAAATCTGTCTGGCTTTGATTGTAACTTCAAATTCGTTTTTACATATCTCTCTGAGCATTTTGTCAATTTCAGGCCAATCAACATCGTTTTCTGGAATGACTAATGGGGAAATTTTCGTTCTATTTTCTGCTTTATTCCGTGTTGTAGTCATCTACGTTTCATCTGTAACTTCCATATCTTCATTATTTTCGTTAAGAGTTTCAAATCTGTTATTTTGTGGAATAGCTGCTGGTGGGATAGACTCGGAATTTTTCGCGGTTTTCTTTGGAGTTTGCCAATCTTTCTGATTTATTGTTTTATCATCTGTTTTAGAATTTGCGAGCTTCGGGGTGTTATGAATGCTTGCTAAAATGAACTGATTTTGTTGAATTTCTTCTTGTAACTTTGAACGCATTTCTATCGCTGGTGGGGAGGTTAATGTCTTCATAGACTCAATACAGTTTAATTTATCGGCGATTTCGTTTTCTAATTTGAGTGAGAGATCTTTTAGGATAGTCGGAAGCTGAGTATTAAAATATTCTTGCGAGATAGCTTCTGTTAAATTAGGAAAAACTTTTCTGTGTTAGTTAACTACTACTTCAAAATTTGAAGGGGAAGGTTTAAATTTCTTAGTATTAACGGCTATTTTCTTAGGACTTCCTGCGGTTTTCTTTTCTTTTCTCTGCGATTTACTTTTCTTAGTAGAAATTATACTTTGAAGCGCCGGGTCATCTGAAGCAATTACAGGCATCTCTTTGGATGTATTCGATTTTCTTGAATAATTCGAATATGTAGAATCATTATCGTATCATAATCGCTGAAAGTAGCATGCCAAGGAATTTTGCCTCTATCTGGTGGTTCGCTATTACTGGCCCTATCGAGAAGAACAAGCAAAAATAATATTTACCAAAAATCAAGAACAGTCGTTTATTTATAACTTCGAATGCACAAAATTTATATCATCTGCCTATAACGACACTCTGAATGTCATATTATAACTCAGAATGCACAAAATTTATATCATTTAAAGAATTATTGCCACATTTATTGCCATTTTAAGAATTGCAACATGTTCTATTCAAATACTATAATAAAGCTAGAACTATGTATAAAAGAAATTAAGCAAACAAAACCAAAAAGAAACAGTTTTCCACAGACGATTGAGTATTTCTCATTCAATTAATTCAGTTTTCACTT